CCAAAAAATCCAGTTTTTAACGAGTTCCAAGGTGTCAAATTAGGCATATTTTTCAGTTAGTTTTTAGTTTATTTAGTTTGTTCTTCATTTGTTTTGTTGATCATAATATTTCCTTACTGACAGATGACTTTTACATTCAGCGCGATATTCAGCACAATATTTACACAGTGGTTTAGAGAATCGCTTGAAACCTGAAAGTGTACACTTGAGAAAACATGAATTTTGTACTCGGTGTACACTTTGCATTTTCTCACTGTTACAGAATCCAGCCCCTGGTGTGCCCCAGGGTAAAATCCTAGGCCCAATACTTTTCTTATATTCTTCCAACGTCATTGGAGCCTGCTTTAAGCATTCCAAGTTTTTGCTGTGCGCTGATGACCTAAAATTCTTCAGAAGTATCACTTCTATGTCTTGTGTTTTGCTATTAAAAACTGATCTAACAACTTAACTAATTGGAGCATCAGAAATAACTTACCGCTTAACCCGAGAATGGAAAACATATTTTTTAGCCCTTTAATGGTAAACATCGCCTATGAGGCTACCTTTATAAACAACGAACATTTCACCTTTGAAAAAATAAGATTTATTCAAACAAAAGCAAATACGTATTTACTGTATCTTTTGTAACAAAAATTAATAAAAAAATGTTATTTTTTTATCTGACATTTGTTACAGTCATATTAGTAGATCACATTTTTTAATGGGTAGTATACACAGACCGTTTGAAAAACAAAATATTTCCGTTCGAGATATTTTCGTACAATTTCTTTAGCTTATAGATTTTAGATCAAATAAATATATTAAAAAAGAATATCATGCCTATGACTTAGAAACAATTGTGTTATTAAAAAGTTTCCTATACAACAAAAAAAATAAATTTATTGCTAAACATCGCCTCATAGGTGACACACGTATGAATATTTCGGCAACATAATGGAGCTGAACAAAACACGTACTGCACACAAGCTTATAGAACACTTAACTGAGTGGGCACGAACCCACGCTTTGTTATGAGAGACCAATCTTGAAATATCGCAAAAACCAAAAATGGTTGCGCCTCACAGGCTATGTTTACCATTCTAGGGTTAACATCAAAAAACTTTTCCATATGACTCTTTCAAAGAGCATAAACACGCATAAGTCGACTTATTACCTGTTTGATAAAAGACTTTCTTCTGTTAAGAAACTTTCAATATATCTCGATTCCTAGACGTGACCCAGCGAAATGCCGGGCCACGTATAACTTGTTTTTGACCGATATAACATTTCCCGTTGGTTTCATCCCATCCCGATTTTTACTGTCGCATAGTGTTATTTCTCCTGCAAACATGGTGGGCTGTTGTTGCTTTAATGGGAGCCTGTTTCCGTGGCCCAATTATTTATATTTTCGTCCAATTTTTGAAGACTTTGCACGACCTCTTCATGTGTTCTAGACGCAGGTGCAAAGATATTGCCTGCATATATACCTATATACGAAATACTTTGCACATTATTTATCAGTTTTAGTAAAGAATTAAATACATATGTAATTTACGCTTAAGATGAAAGTTGTATATCTAGTTTGTAACATTTGTAAATTATACACTTAATAAATGAAATGAAATGAAAAATGGTCAGATGACCGAACTTTTATATAATTTTTACTCTATCTACTAACTGTATTTTATTTTATCCTTTTTGCAAACATTACATCTTTGCTTTTTATTTCGCTTGAGAAAAATTACAATCTCTATTTGACAGTGATAAAGGCTTTAGTGTGAAAATCGCTATTTTGAGGAACTATTTAATTTTGTGTGTTTTCGATAACAGCAATTTATCACTTTCTTTGATGTTTTAATAAACAAGTAATTTTTTAACAAAAAAAAAAACAAAGCCGACTCAGTTCTCATATAAAAATTTAGGAGTACCGTTATTTTATTCATGACGCAAAGATCGGAGCTAAACCAAATTAGTAGGACCACCACCTTTAATTTAAAAAAGAAATCAGTTAATGTGGTCCAAAGTCATACATTAAAAAAAATATTCCGACGAATTGATAACCTCCTTTTTGAAGTCGGTTAAAAAATGGTTGAATGTCAAAGAAAATATCAATATTATTTTTGGATAATTCTTGGTGGATAATGGCTTCAGCTGATGACGTAATTGCGAGCAATAACTTTGTAAATTCTTCACATGACAATGATGAAGATGATTTTGAAAATCAAAAAAAAAAAAGCAGAAAAAGATGGAGAGTTTGAAGAAAAAGTAGACAAGAGAATAAAATAAAATACAATAAATACTGAACTTTTGAATAAAAACCTCTAATCTGAGTATTTATTTGAAAAAAACAATGACATTCAAAAAAATTGGCCTACAGCGCCTTCTAGCACAAAGCTTATAATAAACGAACTTAAAAAATGAATTCCTGGAATCAAAATACCCTTACATGATATTTTTCAAGAATTTAACCTAATTAATTAATAAATTGTGTGCAAGGATTTAATTAAGGATATCTTCATTATTTGAGCTAAAGTCGAAAAAGCCATTAACGTAGTATTGTTGACATCTAAAACTATCACTCGCATTTGGTTTTACTCAATACCGAGCAAGCAAGTTTTATTTTGTTGCATAGTGTTATTAAACGTGTGATATGTAGTAGATAAAATTTTATATTTAGAATAGTGGTAGCCAAGGCTCATTGAATAGGTAGTAACGTGCCTTGGTATTAACTCAAATAGAGCTGATTCGGATATTAAAAATGATTGAAATATGGCCATATATAGTTTTATAAGTATTTGTTTTATTAACTTCGTAGGCTCCCTTCACCAATTTATTCAAGGCGCAATTGATCACACCATCGAACGCGAACTGAGCAATGAAGGGTACGTACAAATGTTTATAATTGGATAATCTCATAAATATAAGACAGCGTATTTTTTTTAAGGGTTGGCTGGAAAGCTGTTACAACTGATACTCTGATTCCAGGTGCTGGAAACGAAGCTGACGTGTCGCCTATTTGTAAACAAAATAAGCAAGAACATGTTATACAGCAACATCCGGAGGATATTATAATGCAACAAGTAATTAATCGAACAAGCGATATTAGTATAATTCCGCAGGTATACGAAGGCGTTTGCTCGACAACTCATAAACGTAATGATGCACTCGAACGAAAGCCGGAGGTGTTGGAAATCGAATTGAATCAGCAGCAGGCAGAAGATGTGTTGCTTAGACAGATTGTAAGCAAAATGAATGAGTTACCAATCGACATGGACAATGCGTTAGAATACGTCGACTCCTCGGAAGCTATACCTTCAGAATCTGTATGCAGTGGTGAAATGATACAGAACACACTGTTAAGTACACATGATCCAAATTTTACCTCTGCACTTATAGCAGGAGACGGGGATAATATTGATAACGGGTTTGAACACGCAGTGCACGAACAAAATGTATTGCTGCAGAATCAGCCGGCAACGAGATCTGAAAGTATAACAGACGGCGCACCAATACACAATATAGACAAATCGTTAAAAGCTGTTGGTATAAAGAAGGATTAAAGTTGAAAGTAATGCTATTTCAGTTACAGTTTAAATGAAAATGGAAGCTCAGTGCATACAGTAAGCTTAAAGAGAGAAAAATTTACAGTCGTTAAAGCAAATAAAGTTGACACAATGTTAAAAAGTACTACAAAATATATTTAATATAATACGACAAATGTAAAATTATAGTTTACAATGCACGATATAAATTGTTAGCTTGTATTAAATGAATGTAAACCTTGTCAAGCAATAGTGAAAAGCATAGATTTTCATGTACATACATATATATAAAATTTCCATGACTATTTTATTACATTCAGTCCCTTGAATAATTAGCACAAACGATAATAGTTTAAATACTGAATAACAACGTCAAGTAGCCTGGGTTGAATGGTCTTATTATAAAGTAGTATTCTCTGTTTAGCAAGCAGTGTTTGTACTAATTTCTGCAGTAAATTTTATAAAACCTTCATACAATTGATACCCTGCAAAATTTTGGCTATTCATCCATAAGTATTATGTCAAAGGATACTTCACGTATTATTTATTCTGTCATTTGAAAAAATATATGAAAATGTCGATACAGATACAAATACAGATACAAAAAAATCTTCCAAAGGTCATTTTATAAGGCAGGCACACAGGCAGTCCGTTTTAGGCATGTACATAGGTTTCAAAGGGCGTGTACAAAGGTTTCATGTAAGGCGGTTCTAGCAAAAATGATTTGAAAGTCTTTTGTAACACAATTGAGAAAGGTTTTATTTTTTATTACTTCAAGAAAATGTTAAAAATAGCTCTTATGCTCAACTTTCATGGCGAAAGGCTTTTTTTTGTGACAATAGGTAAACAAATACTTTATTTTAATTTGTTGTTCTTGTAACATAGAAATCTCCCAAACGTTAGTTGCGTTCGATTACAAAATTAGCCAACACCAGCCAACAATCAAAATCAAGAGCGTAAGCGAGAATTCTCTCCCAAAGAGAAGAAAAAGCAAAAAGGTAAACGAACAGGAAATTAGCCATCACTTGCAAAAACCGGAAGAAGAAGACACACCAGCTGACTTTCTTTATGTTTTATTTGTAAACAAACTGAAATTCATGTTGGCTCCATGGAAGAAAAAGGAAACATTTCTAGAAGTAAAAACTAGTTGGCACTATCATAAAGTTACATAGCAGGCAGCCAAAATGCATATAAATAACAAAACTCGACAAATGCAATTTTGTGTTTACAAAAATTGCAACCATATGTTTTGTGATGATATGTTTTCGTGTTGGATAATTTTTGCTGACTAAAATTTTGCCAGTACAAAATGAACGCTTCTCTTGCATCAAAATGAACGCTTGCTCTCTCAATTTTTATGTGTTGGATATTTTTTTGTCGTTATCGAACGCCATCCAGTAAAAATTTGGAAAAACTATTACAAATTTTTTACTTGTCGAACGCAACTATTTTTTACGGAATCAGCTGGAGTGACAGTCCCTGGCCAGATATAGATCTGAGTCGTTCCGGTTACGTAGACATACCTGACGTGTGAATAGGTACGATGTGCATTCAATGGCGTTTTACAAATTTGTGTGTCCCTAGGGCCAATTATGGCAGCTGTCTTCTTCTTATTTTTTGGCGCTGTAACCGCCTAAGCGATTTTGGCCGAGTTCAGCAAACCGCGCCAGTCCTTTCTCTTCGAAACGCCAAGTGAAGCCAAGTCCTTCTCCACCTGATCTTTCCATCG